TCTTTCAGAGGTCCTTCTGTCCAGAGACCGTCTCCGTGGTCTAGTGGTAGAGCGTCCACCCGGAGAGCGGAAGGTCCGGGGCTCGATCCCCAGCCGTGTTATACCAAAGGATGTTAAAAGATGGTACTTGTTGTTACCCTGTCTGGCGCTCGGCATTAAAGGGCTAAAACAAGGACTGGTCGGATCTTTTTCAGTATACTGTGTCTGAGTGGGGTATTCATGTTCAACTGCGGCATGGTATCGCAGTGAGCTAGCACTATAAATCGGATACAGTCACACACACACACACACACACACACACGCACACACACACACACACACATACACACACACAACGTGCATGCACAGCGCTATATAAGTGCAATAATCACCTCACCTCACCTTCGAATTCTGTCCAGGTGCTTGAAGGATGTACTCTCTAGGTTTATCAATATCACTACAAGTCTCCCGTACTGTCCATGTGCTTGAAGGATACATGTGCTGTCGACTGCGCTGTGTCCTGACAGGGACCACCATGTACTCTTTAGGTTTATTAATATCACTACAAGTGTTTATTAAGAACACATGTGTCCAGTCTCCCGTACACGTTCATTAAAGAATATGTATAGTGTCTTCTGATGCAAAGGTTTAATGAATCTTGACAACCACCTGGTTCACGAACACCTGGCTCACGAATAGCTGGTGTTCAGGTGAACACATGCTTAAGGAACAGTCGGAATCGTACGTTTCAGCACAGATCTCGGAAGGGTGTGACGCGTACCTATGCTATAAGAACAGCAACATTGTACTCTGAGCATTGACATACGGATATTAGGATATTAGTCAAATCATTGAGGTGAAGGTGAGGTGAAATGGGGTTTAACGTCGCGTCCAAGATTAATGCACTAACATAGCGACGTGCATGTACGTGTGTGTGTTTGTGTGGCTGCTTGTACTAGTCCGGACTGATGCCGATTTATAGTGCTAGCTCACTGAGATACCATGCCGCAGTTTAACATGAATACCCCACTCAGACACGGTATACTGACTCCGCGCCGACCAGTCCAGGAAAAACATTCTTTGCTTCAAAGAACATATGTTGTATTTATGAACAATCGGGAAATAAAGATAAATGATCCTGATTACGTAATGTTGTCTTAAGAAATAGCCCGCAGAGATTTTCTCTTGAAGTAAGGAAACTCAAATTTCCATTTAGATTAGAATCTCTATCTTCACTACTTCCTCACTGAGCATGTACTAGCTCGTTTTGAAAGTGAAATATTCATGAGGGTTACAGTGTATTTGGATCGTTACTTTTTTCGGCTTTTCATTCATGTGATATTGAAATAAAGTCGGTGATCTTATGCTTGAACTATACATCAGTTTACTTGCAAGCACTGTACCGTACGCAAATCAATTAAAACAGCCAATGGAGTACTAATCAAATCACGGTTGCATTTATTTCTTTTCACTCCAAGGCATTAACATATCAAACAAACGAGGTAGTAATAACATTCAGTAACTACCAATGGTGATAAATAATTCTGCACACTTATTACAACTAACAAGGCCATGGGAACGTGATCTTGTTGAGGCTTGTTAATCTGGCCAAATGCCACAAGAAATGTCAGACACGGCCTGCTGCCCTTACAAGGCAGAGCAGCTTGCCACACACCTACTCCGATACTAAGTCGGGTCTCGAGGGACAATGACGCAATGTCTTCTTCAAATCGATGACAATAACTTGTCTGGACTATGCAGTTCACAACGCCAACGCCGAAATGGATGCCATAGGGAGTTAAAGGCAAAATAGTGGTTAAATATGTATGGATCACTGAAAATCAGTGATGACACCTGGTGTTCGCGAAAGGGTAAGCATGTCTTGCCCTACCTGCAGCAACCGCCACTCACACAATTTTCATTAAAGAAGTAATGTGTCGCCTTTCACTTCTCCCAGACCAAACTGCGTCATAAATGTTTCACTTTCAACGATTGGCAATGTCGTGTTTCAGAACAGCATGTTCTCCAAGCTTGCATTAACAGAGTGTGCATTCATTCTATTGATGAAGCTCGACCATGACTGATTGGATAATTATATCCACATCCTGTTGTAATACTAACATTAGCACAGTCTTTCCAATCTATCCCTCGACTAAATATCTGATATCCTCATACACACAACGTGTTGTTTCTAGATTAGGATCAACAAGTTTTGTCGAATTAGTCGGAATTAGATGGCTCATTACGAAGCCATTTACTAAAAATAAATTTAAACGGCGAAACGTTTCCATCATATGTGTTTGCGCAGTGGATTTACATCCGATTATCCTCTATTTAAGTTTCAAATAACATTACACGTCATTTCAATGTTGACACGGAAAGTTTGTGTCCGTCGGGGTACTTAATGGTTATCCGATGTCCGCCTTCACCGGCCCGCTAAACCAGCCGGTCATGGCCAGACTAATATAGGCAGCGGCGTCATGCTTATTACTTATTCATCAATGACTTGACGACCGCCTCCGTGGTCTTGTGGTAGAGCGTTTCCTGACTGTACCTACTACATCAGACTGAGGACATATCAATACAACTTGCTTTGTCTCGAAGTATGCCTCAACCATCTCCATCATCTGTGGTACGCATAATACTACTACTTGCTTTGTCTCGAAGTATTCCTCAGCCACTCCACCATTTGTGGTACACATAATAATAGTACTTCCTTTGTCTCGAAGTATGCCTCAGCCACTCCACAATCTGTGGTACACATAATAATAGTACTTCCTTTGTCTCGAAGTATGCCTCAACCCACTACATCATCTGTTCTACACATATTTATACTACTTCCTTTGTCTCGAAGTATGCCTCAACCCACTACATCATCTGTTCTACACATATTAATACTACTTCCTTTGTCTCGAAGTATTCCTCAACCCCGCCATCATATGTGGTACACATATTAATACTACTTCTTTTGTTTCGAAGTATGCCTCACCCACTCCATCATCTGTGGTACACATATGAATACGACTTACTTTGTCTCGAAATATTCCCCAACTCCGTCATCATCTGTGGCACACGTATTAATATTACTTTCTTTGTCTCGAAATATGCCTCAGCCACACCATCATCTGTGGTACACATATGAATACTACTTCCTTTGTCTCGAAGTATTCCTCATCTTCGTCATCGTCTGTGGTACACATATTAATACTACTTCCTTTGTCTCGAAGTATGCCTCAGCCACTCCATCATCTGTGGTACTCGTATTAATACTATTTCCTTTGTCTCGAAGTATTCCCCAACCCCGCCATCAGCGGTGGTACACATATCAATACTACTTCCTTTGTCTCGAAGTATGCCTGAACCCACACCATCATCAGTGGTACACATATTAATACTACTTCCTTTGTCTCGAAGTATTCCTCAACCCAGCCATCATCTGTGGTACACATATAAATACTATTTCCTTTGTCTCGAAGTATGCCGAACCCACTCCATCATCTGTGGTACACATATAAATACTACTTCCTTTGTCTCGAATTACCCACTGCATTAGCTGTGGTATAAATTCTCATAGCAGTTCCTCTGTTTCTTGAAGTATGCCTCCACAAATGGAACTGTAAGGTGAGGTGAAATGGGGTTTAACATCGCGTCCAAGATTACTGCACTTATATAGCGCCGTGCATGCACGCGTGTGTGTTGTTGTTTGTACTAGTCCGGACTGATGCCGATTTATAGTGCTAGCCTATGCCGCACTCAGACACAGTTTACTTACTTCGAGCCGACCAGTCCTTGTTTCAGCCCAGGAAACGGGGAAACAACAAGTACAATCTATTACCGTCTTTTGGTCTACGGCCGGAAATCGAACCCCAGACTTTCCGCTCCTCGGGCGGACGCTCTACCACTAGACCACCAAGTTCTATGGAACTGTAATATTCATACTCATATATAATACTTTTACACCGGAAAATGTTCCGCCCTTTTCAACAGCTGTAGTACATGTAGTCCTACCACAATATAGTTCTTATAATTCGCATTACCCCTCCGAGGGTTGATTTTACACAGACACTATTATCCTGATGTCTCGAATTACACATGTCCCACTCATTGAGCTGTGGTTTGTCTCCTACATATTGTTATTATACTTCTAATACCTTTAGTTCTACTTTCGTTCTCTTTGCCCTGGCAACGTGAATTCTCCTGATACCCTACTCGTGGAGATTCCAGGTTAGACTTGCTCCGCTGTCTCTTGTAGTTATCGTAGGAATGTATCAGTTGGTCAGGTGGCATGGTTGATTGTATGTTATCGGTTTCCCAGTTGCATGTTTCGACGCTCATGATGTCAATTACAGTAAACTACGGTTATAACGAACTCAAAGGGACTGCTATTTTTAGTTCGTTATAACCGTAGTTCGTTATAAGCATATATACAGCATATATACAGCAAATAGTGGGGACTAAAAAGTTAGTTCGTTATATCCGTCAGTTCGTTATAAGCGTGTTCGTTATAGCCGTAGTTTACTGTACTTGACAAACATATTGTATATGACATCTTTTATTACATTTATTCCGCTGTCTTGGTGAGGATTAGATTGTGTGTTCCAGACCCATTTTATTACAGAAAGTAGTCATATAGCTGAGCAATTGCTAGGTGCAGTGTAATGTAACAAACAGTCCTAATACATTACATATGTCTGTAATGTGAAAAGTATTTGTAATTCTAGATGCGAGGTCAGAATTTGTGTGGCCTATCGGTCCATCTCGGTACCTCAACCTGTATTTTATACTATCTGACGTCAGCATATTTTTCAGATGACGTAATATTTTTAGTTTGTGACGTAATGAACAATGGATGACGTCCTGTCTTATTGTTATCAACACAACATGACGTCACATCGCTTCAGTGAGACTTAGTAAAATGCACATGTACAAAATCGGAAAGTGATTACGCTCGTTCATTGTCCCCACTTCCGGTAAAAAAATTCAAAGAAAGCACAAATCAGTAAAACTTCCACATGTTTCAGATTACTTTGGCTGGTGCTGTTCACGGGCTGTGCAGGTGTGATGGGGTACCAGATCATTGACCGCATCCTCTACTACTACAGCTGGCCAGTCACCGTCAACGTCCACGTCAACTTCAACGCTTCCCTGTTGTTCCCGTCGGTGACTCTCTGTAACCAGAACGCCTTCAGGTAACGCAATACAGAACAGGGGGTAACATGCCACCGTGTTTAACAACATATTTACCTTTTGTGTTTGAAGATAATAGCTGTGGGCACTAAGCCCTCTGCTCATGTTCACCAGAAGCAGAAACAAACGAAAAATGTGACTAATCTTTATGTGAGAGTCGATCGAGTTGAGAATGTGGAGCAGAGATGCGTTCCTTAGTGACAGACAATTTAATATACTCACAACAAAAGTTCCTGGGACACCAATATTTTAGTGTATTTTTGAAACAAGTAAAGTTTCGTTTTCAATATTGTAGTGCATGTATGGAATCAAGTCGCAAAAACGCAACTGCTACAGAAAAGCATGCATTCCATGCAAAAGTTTACTTTTATGCAAGCCCCATGCATTTCACTACCCAAGAATGGGTATAAAAACATGTGCGTTAACGGGATTCCATATGCATTGTTTAGCATCGTGCTGACAACAACTACTCAGAAAAAAACAACAAACTTACGCAATTATTCAACATTACGAAATGCCACGCCTGTCCTAAAATGAGCGTCAGCGAGCCATTGGTATGCTTGAAGCAGGATCGAGTTAACGTGATGTTGCAAGACAATGAAACGTCCACAGAAACACCAGTTGGTGTTTATGGCAACGTTGGCAACAGATGAATGCAGTCAGAGACCATCCTCGGAGTGGCAGGCCACGCGTAATCAATAAACGACAAGACAACTGGATTCGAACAACACACCTACGAAATCTATTCCAGCCAGCAACAGTGACTGCAAGAAGCATCTCTGGCCTTCGACGAATATCTTCACAAACCGTACGTCGTCGCCTCAGATGTGCAGGGATTGTCGCCAGAAGACCCGCCAGACGGCCTATTTTGACAGGAAACCACCGGCAAACACGTCTACAGTGGTGCAGACAGCATCTACGCTGGACAGCCATGCATTGGGGACAAGTTCTATTCACTGACGAGTCTCGTTTTCACCTCAGCCACAGCGATGGACGGATTCGAGTGTACCGACGTCGAGGTGAACGTTACGTCAATCATTGTGTCATAGAAGAAGATCGGTTCGGGGCGGCAGCGTTATGGTATGGGGTAGGATTACAGCAAGACAGAGGACCCGTTTGATAGTGGTAGAGGGAAATCTCAATGGACAGACGTGATCATCGGCCCTGTTGTTCTACCGTCGTGTTCTACCGTCGTCATAGCCCAGGCATTACCTTTCAACATGACAACGCCCGGCCTCATATTGCTCGACTTGTTCCGGATTCTCTTCAACAAAACAACGTGAATGTCATCCTCTGGTCGGCTCGCTCCCCTGATCTCTCGACAATCGAGCACATGTGGGATGAGATGGATTGGCGCCTTCAACGTCAACCACGTGTTCCACAGACACTCAAGGAACTTCGAAACATGCTCCAGCAGATATGTACAGATATCCCACAGGACTTTGTGCGAGGCCTTGTCCATTCCATGAGACGAAGATGTGTTTCTTGCATCGCAACCAGAGGTGGACACATTTTGGCATGTTAATGGTGTTTTTTTTATGAAATCACGCATTTCCTTAAGTCAGTATGGCACATTAAACCATTTGAACACTTACAGGAGTCTTTTATCTGTTGCAAACCGAAGTTGTTTAAGATTTGGTGAAAAACATAACTTTGCCTTAAATCTTATTCAATGTCACAGGAACTTTTGTTGTTCAGTATATATGGATTTTATTGAAACAAAATAATTGTTCCAGGAAATTCTTGAAAAAAATAATAATGCTTAGACGCCGTGACTTAACTGAATATAGAAAATTCAGAATGTTTGACCCTAATCACTTACTCGTCTGTTACACGTTCTTTGAGAGAGAAATGACATCGATTTACCGGTGTAATATACATTCATGTTTAAAACATTATTCCAAACGAACTCAACACAACAGATGAAAGCTTTTGTTGAAAACCGATACAATGTCGTTCCTGCTGTGTGATTGTCGATCTGGTAATTGATAAGAGAGACTGTGTAAAGAGGACTTAGTGTAATTGATAATTACACTTTGAGTAATTGTTTGTCGATCTGGTGCCCTGAATTGCGTCACACAATGAGTGGTACCGTTATTGTCAATGGTGAAATAGATACAACCGACACTAAACATCAGACTGGCTTCTCTTATTGAGGAGAACCAAGTGGAAAACTGTCGTGCTCAACAATCAATTCGGAAATTGTGAATTTCCAAGACACAAATCTTTGCTTGGCATTTATGCATGATTACACAATGTCTTTGTGCCAGCTGCCTGATGTCGAATGTTCGCAATTAGAAGATGACATCTACAGTAAACTACGTTTATAACGAACACGCTTATGTCGAACTCACGGATATAACGAACTTACTTTTTTGCCCCGACTATTTGCTGTAGTTGTGCTGTATATATGCTTTAAACGAACTGAAATTAGTAGTCAATTTGAGTTCGTTATAACCGTAGTTTAGTGTATTAAAGTTTTTAAAATTCCATTACGTGTAAAAAGCCTCGACAAAACCCAAAAAACTACTGAACTCGTGGCTTCAAATATAAACTGTTCTGCTGCATTGGTATAGATTAATGACTTGTCAAACAGTTCGTTACGACGATGAGGACGCTATATATGTGTTGGGTATACCTATGTTGCCCTATTGAACTGATGGCCAGGAACAACACAGTCAGGCTGGAACACTTCATGGAACAGCTATGAGGGACAGAGAGTACATGTCTCACTGTCCCACAGAAGCCACCTACCCCTACATCCTAGAGTACATGTCTCACTGTCCCACAGAAGCCACCTACCCCTACATCCTAGAGTACATGTCTCACTGTCCCACAGAAGCCACCTACCCCTCCATCCTAGAGTACATGTCTCACTGTCCCACAGAAGCCACCTACCCCTACATCCTAGAGTACATGTCTCACTGTTCCACAGAAGCCACCTACCCCTTGATCCTAGAGTACATGTCTCACTGTCCCACAGAAGCCACCTACCCCTACATCCTAGAGTACATGTCTCACTGTCCCACAGAAGCCACCTACCCCTACATCCTAGAGTACATGTCTCACTGTCCCACAGAAGCCACCTACCCCTACATCCTAGAGTACATGTCTCACTGTTCCACAGAAGCCACCTACCCCTACATCCTAGAGTACATGTCTCACTGTTCCACAGAAGCCACCTACCCCTTGATCCTAGAGTACATGTCTCACTGTCCCACAGAAGCCACCTACCCCTCCATCCTAGAGTACATGTCTCACTGTTCCACAGAAGCCACCTACCCCTACATCCTAGAGTACATGTCTCACTGTTCCACAGAAGCCACCTACCCCTCCATCCTAGAGTACATGTCTCACTGTCCCACAGAAGCCACCTACCCCTCCATCCTAGAGTACATGTCTCACTGTTCCACAGAAGCCACCTACCCCTACATCCTAGAGTACATGTCTCACTGTTCGACAGAAGCCACCTACCCCTCCATCCTAGAGTACATGTCTCACTGTCCCACAGAAGCCACCTACCCCTCCATCCTAGAGTACATGTCTCACTGTCCCACAGAAGCCACCTACCCCTACATCCTAGAGTACATGTCTCACTGTTCCACAGAAGCCACCTACCCCTTGATCCAAGAGTACATGTCTCACTGTTCCACAGAAGCCACCTCACTGTAGGGGTAGGTGGCTTCTGTGGGACAGTGAGACATGTACTTTAGGATGGAGGGGGAGGTGACTGAAAGTTTTAGGTCGTCCCTGTGGCACAGAGTATTAGTTAGAGAAACTCCTGCTGTAAAGATTGAAAATATATCTCCAAAATAACGTCCCATCTACAAAATGAACATGGAAAATAATGAGTCATTGCATTAATAATAGCGAGTCGGTGTAAACACGCGATAATTGACGTGTTTGATATTTTGATGTTTGTGGAGCAAAATACGAAAATAGGCATGGACGATGATTCCAATGGGATAGTGACATTACAGTTGTTTCGCCTATCATGTTGGCAAACGTATATGCCCTTACGTATTTATTTCAAATAGAAATGGGTTTTCAATCTCATGAGAATATTTGCGTACCAATCACTTATGTCATTAGACCGTTTAGTTATTGACAGTAATTACACTGTAATTGATACAGCAGCAATGAAATAAATAGATCATTCTAAGTAACGAAAACTCAGTGAGTTGAGAGAATTAACTCAGCATGAACTCAAGTTTTCATTTCAGTCAGCTCTAGAGCCAGACTTGGAGTCCTGGGGACCCATTCTGACCTGGACACAGGCACTGTGTCTCTATTCAGTCACGGGGTAGGGTAGCCGAGAAGTTAAAGCGTTAACTTGTCTCGCCTAAGGCCGGGTTCGATTCCCCACATGTGTTCAATATGAACCCTATCTGGTGTCCCCAGTCGTGATATTGCTAGAATATTGCTTAAAATGGCATACAGCCTCGCTCTCATTTTGGCATATTGTTTGCAGAGCAACGGCCGCCACGGAGGCAGGACGGTACCGCCTGATAGAAGAGATGTACACCAAGTCACATGACTTCAACGCCAGCCAACTGTTGGCCTACAACGCCTCCAACATCACCCTCAACGACCTGTATGAGAGGGCGGCACACAGAAGGGAAGACCTGATTGTCGCGTGGGTACACTCTTGCTGAATGAATTCTTGGAGCCACAGAATACATGCGCAGAGATTACATGGAGCCACATAATACATACACTGAGAATACATGGAGCCACCGAATACATACACTGAGAATACATGGAGCCACAGAATACTTACGTTGAGAATACATGGAGCCAAATAATACATACACTGAGAATACATGGAGCCACAGAATACATACACTAAGAATACATGGAGCCACAGAATACATACACTGAGAATACATGGAGCCACAGAATACATACACTGAGAATACATGGAGCCACATAATACATACACTGAGAATACATGGAGCCACCGAATACATACACTGAGAATACATGGAGCCACAGAATACTTACGTTGAGAATACATGGAGCCAAATAATACATACACTGAGAATACATGGAGCCACAGAATACATACACTGAGAATACATGGAGCCACATAATACATACACTGAGAATACATGGAGCCACCAAATACATACACTGAGAATACATGGAGCCACAGAATACTTACGTCGAGAATACATGGAGCCAAATAATACATACACTGAGAATACATGGAGCGACAGAAAACATACACTGAGAATACATGGAGCCACAGAATACATACACTGAGAATACATGGAGCCACAGAATACATACACAGAGAATACATGGAGCCACATAATACATACACTGAGAATACATGGAGCCACCGAATACATACACTGAGAATACATGGAGCGACAGAAAACATACACTGAGAATACATGGAGCCACAGAATACATACACTGAGAATACATGGAGCCACAGAATACATACACTGAGAATACATGGAGCCACATAATACATACACTGAGAAAACATGGAGCCACCGAATACATACACTGAGAATACATGGAGCCACAGAATACTTACGTCGAGAATACATGGAGCCAAATAATACATACACTGAGAATACATGGAGCGACAGAAAACATACACTGAGAATACATGGAGCCAAATAATACATACACTGAGAATACATGGAGCCACAGAATACATACACTGAGAATACATGGAGCCACATAATACATACACTGAGAATACATGGAGCCACCGAATACATACACTGAGAATACATGGAGCCACAGAATACTTACGTTGAGAATACATGGAGCCAAATAATACATACACTGAGAATACATGGAGCCACAGAATACATACACTGAGAATACATGGAGCCACATAATACATACACTGAGAATACATGGAGCCACAGAATACATACACTGAGAATACATGGAGCCACAGAAAACATACACTGAGAATACATGGAGCCACAGAATACATACACTGAGAATACATGGAGCCACAGAATACATACACTGAGAATACATGGAGCCTCAAAATACATACACTGAGAATACATGGAGCCAAAGAATACATACACTGAGAATACATGGAGCCACAGAATACATACACTGAGAATACATGGAGCCACATAATACATACACTGAGAATACATGGAGCCACATAAGACATACACTGAGAAAACATAGAGCCACAGAATACATACACTGAGAACACATGAAGCCACAGAATACTTACATTTACAATACATGGAGCCACAGAATACATACACTGAGAATACATGGAGCCACAGAATACATACACTGAGAGTACATGGAGCCACAGAATACATACACTGAGAATACATGGAGCCACAGAATACATACACTGAGAGTACATGGAGCCACATAATACATACACTGAGAGTACATGGAGCCACAGAATACATACACTGAGAATACATGGAGCCACAGAATACATACACTGAGAATACATGGAGCGACAGATTACATACACTGAGAATACATGGAGCCACAGAATACATACACTGAGAATACATGGAGCCACAGTATACATGCACTGAGAATACATGGAGCCTCAAAATACATACACTGAGAATACATGGAGCCAAATAATACATACACTGAGAATACATGGAGCCACAGAGTACATACACTGAGAATACATGGAGCCTCAAAATACATACACTGAGAATACATGGAGCCACAGAATACATACACTGAGAATACATGGAGCCACATAAGACATACACTGAGAAAACATAGAGCCACAGAATACATACACTGAGAACACATGAAGCCACAGAATACTTACATTTACAATACATGGAGCCACAGAATACATACACTGAGAATACATGGAGCCACAGAATACATACACTGAGAGTACATCGAGCCACAGAATACATACACTGAGAATACATGGAGCCACAGAATACATACACTGAGAGTACATGGAGCCACAGAATACATACACTGAGAGTACATGGAGCCACAGAATACATACACTGAGAATATATGGAGCCACAGAATACATACACTGAGAATACATGGAGCCACAGAATACTTACGTTGAAAAAGAATACATGGAGCCAAATAATACATACACTGAGAATACATGGAGCCACATAATACATACACTGAGAATACATGGAGCCACATAATACATACACTGAGAATACATGGAGCCAAATAATACATACACTGAGAATACATGGAGCCACAGAATACTTACGTCGAGAATACATGGAGCCACATAATACATACACTGAGAATACATGGAGCCACCGAATACATACACTGAGAATACATGGAGCCACAGAATACTTACGTTGAGAATACATGGAGCCAAATAATACATACACTGAGAATACATGGAGCCACAGAATACATACACTGAGAATACATGGAGCCACATAATACATACACTGAGAATACATGGAGCCACCGAATACATACACTGAGAATACATGGAGCCACAGAATACTTACGTCGAGAATACATGGAGCCAAATAATACATACACTGAGAATACATGGAGCGACAGAAAACATACACTGAGAATACATGGAGCCAAATAATACATACACTGAGAATACATGGAGCCACAGAATACATACACTGAGAATACATGGAGCCACATAATACATACACTGAGAATACATGGAGCCACCGAATACATACACTGAGAATACATGGAGCCACAGAATACTTACGTTGAGAATACATGGAGCCAAATAATACATACACTGAGAATACATGGAGCCACAGAATACATACACTGAGAATACATGGAGCCACATAATACATACACTGAGAATACATGGAGCCACCGAATACATACACTGAGAATACATGGAGCCACAGAATACTTACGTCGAGAATACATGGAGCCAAATAATACATACACTGAGAATACATGGAGCGACAGAAAACATACACTGAGAATACATGGAGCCACAGAATACATACACTGAGAATACATGGAGCCACAGAATACATACACTGAGAATACATGGAGCCTCAAAATACATACACTGAGAATACATGGAGCCAAAGAATACATACACTGAGAATACATGGAGCCACAGAATACATACACTGAGAATACATGGAGCCACATAATACATAGACTGAGAATACATGGAGCCACATAAGACATACACTGAGAAAACATAGAGCCACAGAATACATACACTGAGAACACATGAAGCCACAGAATACTTACATTTACAATACATGGAGCCACAGAATACATACACTGAGAATACATGGAGCCACAGAATACATACACTGAGAGTACATGGAGCCACAGAATACATACACTGAGAATACATGGAGCCACAGAATACATACACTGAGAGTACATGGAGCCACAGAATACATACACTGAGAGTACATGGAGCCACAGAATACATACACTGAGAATACATGGAGCCACAGAATACATACACTGAGAATACATGGAGCGACAGATTACATACACTGAGAATACATGGAGCCACAGAATACATACACTGAGAATACATGGAGCCACAGTATACATGCACTGAGAATACATGGAGCCTCAAAATACATACACTGAGAATACATGGAGCCAAATAATACATACACTGAGAATACATGGAGCCACAGAGTACATACACTGAGAATACATGGAGCCTCAAAATACATACACTGAGAATACATGGAGCCAAAGAATACATACACTGAGAATACATGGAGCCACATAAGACATACACTGAGAAAACATAGAGCCACAGAATACATACACTGAGAACACATGAAGCCACAGAATACTTACATTTACAATACATGGAGCCACAGAATACATACACTGAGAATACATGGAGCCACAGAATACATACACTGAGAGTACATGGAGCCACAGAATACATACACTGAGAATACATGGAGCCACAGAATACATACACTGAGAGTACATGGAGCCACAGAATACATACACTGAGAGTACATGGAGCCACAGAATACATACACTGAGAATACATGGAGCCACAGAATACATACACTGAGAATACATGGAGCGACAGATTACATACACTGAGAATACATGGAGCCACAGAATACATACACTGAGAGTACATGGAGCCACAGAATACATACACTGAGAATACATGGAGCCACAGAATACATACACTGAGAATACATGGAGCCACAGAATACATACACTGAGAATACATGGAGCCAAATAATACATACACTGAGAATACATGGAGCCACAGAATACATACACTGAGAATACATGGAGCCACAGAATACATACACTGAGAATACATGGAGCCACATAATACATACACTGAGAATACATGGAGCCACAGAATACTTACACTGAGAATACATGGAGCCACAGATTACATACACTGAGAATACATGGAGCCACATAATACATACACTGAGAATACATGGAGCCAAATAATACATACACTGAGAATACATGGAGCCACAGAATACATACACTGAGAATACATGGAGCCACATAATACATACACTGAGAATACATGGAGCCACCGAATACATACACTGAGAATACATGGAGCCACAGAATACTTACGTCGAGAATACATGGAGCCAAATAATACATACACTGAGAATACATGGAGCGACAGAAAACATACACTGAGAATACATGGAGCCA